AAACGCCATGTGGGCTTTGTGCGTGGTTCGTTTTTGCAGGGCTGGTCAATCTGTCCGACAGCCTTTTTGTTCTTGGCGAAAGCGATATGATGGCATTTGACTAGCGTCTCGTCGCTACACCTACTACTTTACACGGACACAACACCGAAAGGTTGCATGTTGTTGGCGAACGCAGAAGCACTATTACATGCAGCAAGAGAAGCTAGCGTCTGCTTTATAGGAAGAGTACGCGCATTAAGAGGCGTCGCCTCCATCAACCGTGTCCACTAGTCATACTGCGCAGATTCGTACGGTCAATTTCTGACGTCTCTCGCCGATTTGTGCTGATTTTTCAGCAAGGTACGCACGACGGGTTTATGTTGAGCTCGAAACACCATGAGCGCGTCCTGACCAAGTACTGTAAACCAAAACGTCATTTCTGTCCATCGACCACGTGGCAGGACATGGGAACAGGCTCGGTCACCGGAATGCGGTGGTAATTTGCTTCGTTTTGAGGCCGTTGGTATTGCCACATGGGGCAGCGACATGTAGAGACTCCTCGCTTTTTTGTCAACGTTGAACGACTACGGACACCACTTATGCTATTCCGATGCACGCGCTGGACCAGAACGCTGGCATCCCATCCCGCTCCAGATCATCCGCATCGTCTTCGTCCTTATCTCTATCGCGTCCTACTATCGACCTCAGCTTGCCGATCACGGGCGTACGTTGTCCGTGGACCACGTTTTGGGGGTACTAATAGGAGGGAGAATGTTGATCGAATGGCTACTAAACCCGTACCACACTCCCACAAGTGTAGTATCTTTTTGGCGCGCCAGCTGGCTTGCCTCACCAGATCGAAGCTTCGTCTGGGTCTTGCGTGGTATCTTTAATCGACCAAAAGCATCTGGTGGTTGATGGAGTTGCAAATCCCAGCGCTCATTTTTGCTTTTCCTTCCAACGACTCATTCTCGTCGTCGTATCATGAGCAGCGTCTACGAGCCGCGCCTCCTCGAGCCGATCCCGTTCAACCCGAGCTTGAACCACATGCCGCTTTTAAGTGCCTATGACCTCTGGGCACTCGTCGACTGCCACCTAGAGGACACGGACGACAGTGTGACGACGGACGAAGAAGACGGTCGCTTCAGCGTCGCTTCGACCCTCTCGACCGAGTTGGACGAGTCCAGTGGCCGGAAGCACTGCGCAGTCTTTGGCTGCTCGAGCCCGGTCCGAGCCCGCGGCTTTTGCAAACGCCACGGCGGCGCCCGCGTCTGCGGCGTTCCGACATGTGCCAAAGAAGCGCAGAACGGCCAGTTCTGCATCGGCCACGGCGGCGGCAAGTGCTGCAAGGTCACCGGCTGCTCGAACGCCGCGCAGTCCCAAGGACTCTGCAAAGCCCACGGCGGCGGCTCCCGCTGCAAGCACCTTGGCTGCGAACGCAGTAGCCAAGGCGGCGGGTTCTGCCGCTCCCACGGCGGCGGCAAGCGCTGCGACGTGCCCGGCTGCACGAAAGGCGCCCAACGCGGCACCAAATGTGCCAAGCACGGCGGCTGCCGGTCGTGCACTCTGCCGGGCTGCACGCGCACCGACCGCGGCGGCGGCCTCTGTGAGATCCACCGCAAGGACAAGACGTGCGTCATCGAAGGCTGCAAGCGGCTCGGCAAAACCCTCGGCATGTGCACACCGCACGTGCGCGAGCACCGCCATAGCGGGCTCCAAGCGCTTTTGTCGTAAATCGTATTCGCTAAGTGTAAACGTATATTTAATGTAATCTTGCATCCAATGAGCTGTTTGCGAGTAAGCGGCGGATGCTATTTTTCTTCTTGCGACTCGTTTCTCGTACCGCATCACCTGCGTATGTGCCGCGGACATCTGGTCTCGCTGCAATGCAAACGCATGGCGACCAGATCAGATTCTAGTGAACGGTGTCGATCACAAGAAGCATGTCTCTGGGTCACGACCGGCGCTATTACAATTGTCGTCGCCGTGTACGAGAGTGGATTCCTTGACGACGCTGTGTGTATGTTGAAGGCACTCGTGTCACTTCGAAACAGCAACCCACTCAAGTTCTACTCCGTTTGCGGGTTTCGTTGACGCTGGACCTGATATCGAACTTTTTCGAGGGACGTTCGACCCGACTACATCCAAACGTCGCCGCGAGTTGGACAATAAAGACTAGGTACACTTTAGATAACTTGAAGGAGCGGACTGAGCTCTCCTAGTACAACTTGTACCGGAAGGTCGCTGACATTCGGGCGATGCCAAGCTGCGAGACCATGAAGCGGCTACCAGAATTGGCTGCCAATGAGGTTTGCAGCAGCATGCATCCGCTGCGTGGAGACAAGAAGGGTGAGGAGAACGCATGCAGTGAGCTTATAAATCTGGCTTTCTTGCGCGATGAGTGTACGTAGTATATGCAGCGATTAGTACACGATGATTCCAGTGCTGTCGTAATATAACCGTCATCTTGCCTGACCCCCCGCGACTCACACACCTGGACAACAGCGACTCGGTGTGCTGACCACAGATCGCGCGACTTTACGGTACGTCTTCAGTGGGGGCAGAGGCACTCACCCATACCAACGTTGCACAAGACAGATGTTGTTTCGACACGGCAGCCGAATGCCACACCGCCGTCAATCCCGAATTCGCCCGTCATGGATTCTATGGTCGACCTCCGCCTCGAGCCGATTCCGTTCACGGCAACCCCGAGATCCGAGATCCCGTACCCGCTCGTAGCCGACTACCTCGCGACGCTGCTACGGCCGTCATCGCCGACGCAGCCAGTCGAATCGTTCGAGTTTCGAGCGAGCAATGCATCGAGCCACGCCACCGACGTCGAGGGCGACGACGGGCCGCCCGTCCGCCGGCGCATCTGCCGCCACCCGGGCTGCGCCAGCCACGTCCGGTCCAAGGGCTACTGCAAGCGCCACGGCGGCGGGCGCCTCTGCAGTGTGTTGACGTGCGACAAGGAGGCACAGAACGGACAGTTTTGCATCGGCCACGGTGGAGGCAAGAGTTGTCAAGCCATCGGCTGCTCGAACGCGGCACAGTCCCAGGGCCTCTGCAAAGCCCACGGCGGTGGCTCGCGCTGCAAATACGCGGGATGCGACCGCAGCAGCCAAGGCGGCGGGCTCTGCCGCACCCACGGAGGTGGCAAGCGCTGTGACGTAGCCGGGTGTACTAAAGGCGCGCAGCGGGGCACCAAGTGCGCCAAACATGGCGGCTGTCGGACGTGCTCGGTCGTCGACTGCCCGCGCACCGACCGCGGCGGCGGCTTGTGCGACGTCCACCGGCGCAACAAGACGTGCCGCATCCCAGAGTGCAAGCGCCTCGGAAAGACGATGGGCATGTGCACAGCCCACATGCGCGAGCACCGCGACCGAACGTTCAAAGTCGAGCCGTGACGCATACAAGTATTTAACATCATAACCTAAACTGCCTACCCCTATTCTGGCTCGAATCTTCAAGAATCATCGACGCAACACACGTGGTCTCCTTATCGATTTTCGTAAGTGCAATTGCACCAACACAGAGGAAACGCAGGTATACGTCAAATTGGTGCTCAACCTGCTCGCGCGTAAGGCCGTCACTGTACCTGGTACTGTCACTCAGCAAACACTATACGATCTATTGGTCAACGGCGCGGTGCACGCAAATGTCATTTAGGATTGAGCATGGGCTATAGGTCTTGCGTTAATTGATTCGATATATTAAAATTGACTTTTGCATCCTACCAAGCCTGCAGCCATAATGTCGTGAAGTACCGATGCCGCTACTCAGAAAGGACAGAGTGAGGGGTGCGGGAGCTCGTGGGATCTGCTGACGCAGAGAAAAGAAGCACGCGAGTGGTCGAGTGACAAGCGAGGACCATTTGCGGGCTTATTCGGGCGACGGCGGGTCGCAGGGTGTGAAGAAAAGCGTCAGCGGCGGAAATACGAGTTCACTCGGCGGTGCATGCAAATACCACATGCCGAGACGTAAGTGATAACGCAGTGAGGGCCAAGGTGGATAGCGGATCGCCAAGAAGATCCCTTCTTGACAGAAAGCTTCACAAGTGATTGCTTGAAGAGGCCGATGTCAAATAGATGTACGGAGCCGATCAAGCAGCTGCGCCCCCGACAACCTATGCAACTACATACATGTATGACCTTTGTCGACTTTGTCTCGTCATGGCCACACCCGCCGGATGCCATCTTTAGCGGCAAGGACGAGACAAAGTTGACAAAGGTCATACCGGTAGTTGCATAGGTGGTCGGCACGCCATTCGCTGGATACCGGATCCATGCACGGGCACAAGAGCAGAGCCGGCAGCGCCTAGAGTAAGCGCCAAATGTTCGCCACGGAGGTAGTCCAGGTCGAGCGGCTGCCACATGTCCGCAAACCGGCCGGGTCACGTCAGTAGCTGCCGTGAGTGGCAGAAAGGCGAGAGCTGCGCGAGGCCATCGATGTACTGGATGATCAATCAAGGGAGAGCGTGTGAGAGGTCAAGCACAGTCGCAGCCGCGGGGCAGGCGTGCTTGTTGCCATGCTCTTGACTGCCATGCTTGGATACCGAATGCGACGAATTTACGGACCAGCCCATGAGCCCGTTGGATTCGATCTCGTTATCCGGATGACTGTGAGCTGGCAGACGGTGGTGCATGCATCATCCGGTCGCCTCCAACGGTCCATCGATATCTCGGTATAGCTTACAACAGTCCTTCACCAGTGTACCGGTACCGGTACATTAGTTGGTTGGATTTGGGTGACAACATTTAGGGGGGACATCTCGACTAAAATCATGGTAGATGCTACCATGTACGCCCCACACAAAAGTAACGCCCGGCAGTGACCCGTGCAGCTCCAGCCGACGTGAAGCTGCTTATGCTTTTATCGACCTAGCTCGTAGATAAATGTTTTCGCCTGAGACGGGCGACAAGCGGCTGCTCAATCGCGATGCAGAGCTCAAGCTGCAGCCGTGTGTTGGGGCAAAGGTATCCTCGCTGGACCCCCTGCTACACGATGACGACTGGGTCCGATGCCACATGATTCCTACCTTTACACGCCTCACCCTCTTTGAACAGTGGGTAGCTCGCAACCGCGGCTTCTTCGCACTCTGCCTCGTCAAGTTGGTAAAAAGGCCACTATGTAAACTAGACTACAAACTTCAACATCACACAGCTGTTGTTGTGCCGTGTATCTGGAAAGATTTTGTTTTCACTGAGAGTCTGAACACTTTCTTATTTGGTGAGCGCTTCGGGCGTGATACGACTGGACGGCAGCAAGGAGGCGTGACCGTCGCGAAGGCGAGGCATGCAGGCCGGAGCCAGGGCCGGAAGGGGCACCGTCCGACTTGGTAGGCGTCGACAGCGCTGAGTGCTGCGGTTGAGCCGATTGCGCAAGCTTGCGGCTGCTGCGTTTTCATTTTGGTTCAAGTATAATCTATCTATCGTCCCAACGCGTTTGTGCTAACGATGTCGCTGGAGTACGTTGCGCCTGCACCTGGGAGAAGCACCCTACTAGGAGCGCATGGCGTGTGTCGACTCACCGCGTGCGTTTGTATATGCACGATCTTAGACCTGCAGGTGGTATTACACTCGTTGGTGCGCATGTAAGTCGAGTTGGATCGTATAATGTTGAAGTGAGTCTACCGGTATTTAGATATAATTTGCACTGAACTGCTGAACTGTTTTGGATCGAAAATGTGTCTACGGAACTGTTGTTATTACTCGCATTGTGGACGGTCGTAACTGTCGCCGATGGTAGTTTGTCCTCACTTTGTGCCAATCCCCGGCCATGCGTTGCGCAGGGCGCGCGTAGTAACTCATCTCTAGGAGTTCCGTGAGGAGGATCACTTCAATCGATTGATGAAGGGCACAGTGCCTTGCCGGGGCTCTTTGTAAAAAGAAGGAATGCCCACGAAAGCCCATTCACCCACAATTTCCACAGAGCACTAACATGGTTGACTCAGAGATGGCTGAGTAAAATACTAACGCTTCTCTAGGTATCCCAGTACAGGAGTATATATATACCCATGGTCTACTAGCTTTTCTCGTAGTACTCTCTTGGGAAACCCGACCAATAAAGCGTAGAAAATAGGGACAAGACGCGCGACGGTGGGCCATCAGTCATAGCAAAGCACAGAATCCTGAAAACCCTTCCAGCGACTTCCATTTCACATCAACGATCGACCCAACATGTAGCGTAAATCGAGAGAATCAGCAGCGTCCACGATGATTCCACCACGGTCTGTGTTATGCGGAATACATTTGTGATTTCTTGTGCGCTCCATTGAACTGTACTACAAATGTACAGTGCACACTTGTCGACTTTTTGCCAGAGTGTTTTTTCTTTGGAGGGTGTTCGTGGCCCGTGATCCAAATGTGACGGGCCCTATCAGCACAGATCAATGCCAGCCATTCCAGCGTGTGGGAGAGGGCAACCGGACGACCTTTCACCGCCTGCTACCCAGCACTAAACACCCAGCCCTGATTACTATGACGGCAGACGATGATACACAGATTGCGCTTGTTTCAAAGCTGTTTCTAGGCCGCAAAATGCAGCTTGAAGCGCATTTGTGGGACGTGGGACACATGCTAAGGCCGAACCGTACTTCGAAGCGTGTCGCGATCGCACCACAACCAACTCTGTGGCAAGTCACCATTTCTCATTTGCCTCGCCATGGCCTACTACTCGGAAGTGTTTGCCCACATCGACCCGATCCCGTTTGCGAGCGTCGCCTCGTCGTTCGCGCTCGACGACGTCGATGTCTTTCACCTCTTCTCCGACGAGCAGCCCTTTGTCAAGCTCGAGGAGTTCGCGGCACCTTTTTTCTTTGATGACTCGCTCCTCGGCCCGCTCGCGTACACCCCGCCGCTGCCGCCCACCAACTGGACACTTAGCTTCAACGCCCCCGCACCGTCGAAGGCGCCGTCCATGGCCTACCGCAAGCCGTGCTCAGTTGACGGCTGCCACCGCGTCGTGCGGTCGCGTGGCTTTTGCAAGCGCCATGGCGGCGGTCGGCAGTGCGTTATCGAAACGTGCTCGAAAGAAGCCCAGAACGGCGACTACTGCGTCGGCCACGGCGGCGGCAAGTCGTGCAAGGTCGATGCTTGCACAAACGCCGCGCAGTCCCAAGGTCTCTGCAAGGCGCACGGCGGCGGCGCGCGCTGCAAGTACAACGGCTGCGACAAATGTAGCCAAGGCGGTGGCTACTGCCGCTCGCACGGCGGCGGCAAGCGCTGCCTCGAGCCTGGCTGCACGAAAGGCGCCCAGCGCGGCAACAAGTGCGCCAAGCACGGCGGCTGCCGGACATGCACCGTCGACGACTGCGTGCGCACGGACCGCGGCGGCGGCCTCTGCGAGATCCACCGCAAGGACAAGATGTGCACTGTGACCGGTTGCAAGCGCCTCGGCAAGACCATGGGCATGTGCACGCCGCACGTGCGCGAGCTCCGGAGCTCGGGCTCGCCAGAATAGATTTCTCAGAGCTATTTATTGTACCATTCACACAGTGTAATCTATCTTCCTCCGCTTTTCCTTCGCACTCGCGACTCTTTTGGAAACAGTCGCTGTGCAACACTACCTGGAGCGTGAATGTGTCCATCCATTGTCCTCATCTTTCGACGCGCCTGGTCAGCAAGCACCGAAATTTGCCGCGTTCAGCGCAACACGGTCGTTCGGCGCGCATTACGTTACAAAGGAAGCGTTCAGAAGTCGTGGTTGAGGTCAGTGAAACGTCGTGCTCGCTCCGCGCGCCACGTCATTTGCCACGTCATGCACCCAGTGCATGGTCTAGCTCCTACCCTATCAACACCAATATTCAGTCACCAATTTGTTTTCTTGTATGTACAGTGACCATGAGGGAGCGTGGTGTCCCAGATGACAAGGATCTCGACAACACAAATCGTCAGTGGTGGCGAGACCAAAGCCTCCCGGCTCTTTCGCTCCAGTCGACACGTAAGAGAAGTACTGCAACGGCACCGTCTCTTTTACTCAGCTGCTTGTCGTTTCGACTATGTCGAGGTCCGCGCCTCGCGCGCCACTTCTTGGAGCAACAGTGCGCTACGTTGGCAGAGTTGTTGGCAGCCGAATTTTAGCGCTTGAAAATTTCACAAATCGCGGCGACTCCACGTGGTTATCAGCATCGAGTCATGTCATTTTGTCAGATTGACCACATGTCTTCGTAAGCTTCGAATGTTGAGAGAAAACTACTTCAAGGAAGTTGCTCCCCCCTTTGGTGCTTACGTGTGTTCGATGCTTCTTGTCCCAAGCGCCACGAATCCGCGTAAAGGTAAAAGTTGATATCTCAATGCTGTTGCTGCGACGCTTGCGATGCAAGTTCGAGTGCTTCTCCCTTGTAGTATGAAGTGACCTATGCCCCCGACGATTCGGTCGTTGAATCGCTGCTACGCCTCGCCGTTGGAAAACACGGCGCTGCAAATAAAGGATTTTTTGTTTGTTTATTCTCTTGCTGCAAATGCTACTACTAGTACCAATTACCTAGCGTGCGGTACTGGCACCCCTGGATGGTCCAACCAGCGATTTATCGAATGCGACAACCGTCATGTTCACATTGGTGCCGCAAAAACCGATGGACCTGCCGATCGAAATGACGTTTATTCGCACTTGGTTCTGCATTTGTACGCCTATGTGTCACCAAAAGTTCCGAAAGGCAGCTGCTGCTGTTATAGCGATGAGTCCGATTCAGAAAATACGATTCCAGAGAGCGAGACGTCGCATGCGCAAGCCAAGGGCGATATTTCACGACGCGCAACGGCGATTCAACCGGCGCCACGACGCCTGGCTTCGTGACCACCTCGTCCCGGCTTGCACCATCCATACGCCTCGCCTTCAACACGGCTGAGCCTCGCGTTGCTGCCGTCTAGCACAACACGCTCCGAGTCGAAAGCCCACCCCCAAAACTGGTTTGGGGGGGGTGGACCAACTAATTCAGTGGTAAATGTAACTAAATCGACTCACTTCAATAACAGCGATTTGAACAGACATGTCGTGGACGCATCACGTTCGATCCTTCTTTTGACTGGAATCGACATGGACTTGTCCGTGCACGCAGTGACACTTTCCTGGACTAATAGAGCGGTCGAGCAAGATTCGTTTCGAACTCGAGACGACCGCACCAATCACAACATGTCTCTATGAATATGCTACACGCCATAAGCCATAATAGGTGCAAGCGCTGCATCGTCCGCTCTGCCACAGGCCCTGACACAAGATCCCATCATGCGATTCCTCCAGTTTGGATCGCGCGTTTTGATGGGCGAGAAACCTCTCATTATGCATACCACCGCAATATATTATATATGAAAGGTGGCGGCCATCAGCTGGCGTAATCTTTACCGTCAGTGGCAGTCGGGGCGACCTCGTCGAGCAGCCAAGTAGGAGCGTCATGGGCACCGAGGATGCACGCAGCAGCACGCCAGCCGCGCCTGGCCCGCGGAGCAACCAGGCCGAGACCGCACCGCGGCGTGCGCCGGCGACGCCCAAGTCCTGGACCATTCACGACTTTGACATTGGCCGCGAGCTCGGGCGGGGCCGCTTTGGTGCGCTGACGGCGCTGCCTCGCGCATAGCTCACGTAGCATGTAGGCCAAGTGTTTTTGGCCCGCGAAAAGTCGTCGCGCAAGATCTTGGCCATCAAGATCCTCACCAAGGAGCAGCTCCACGTACGATCGGCGTATGGCTGCATGGTGCTCATGCATGCGATACGTAGCTGGGCGGCGTCGTGCAGCAGCTCAAGCGCGAGGTTGAGATCCACTCGCGCATTCGCCACCCACACATTCTGCCGCTGTACGCCACGTTCCAAGACGACACGAAAGGTTGTCTCTGTGCCCAATTCGTTGAGGGTCACGGTGGGACGACTCTAGTGTACCTCGTCCTCAAGTACGCACCCCACGGCGACCTCTTCACGCGCCTCAAGAACGCCCAATGCGGCCGGTATACATAGGTTTTCTTCTTTGCGCTGTCGTCATCCTGTGCATGTAGGCTGGACGAGCGCACGGCCGCCCGCGTGATGACGCAGCTCATTAGGTAGACTCGAGTCTTGCAGCTAGGGTGTGCAATGATCGCAATATGACATAGCGCCATCCACACGTGCCACCAGCACAACGTGGTGCATCGCGATATCAAGCCCGAAAACATCCTCCTCGGCGCCGAGGTGCCAGGAGCTCTTCGATGCTATGAGAACTTATTTCAATATGAATAGGAGGAAGTGCTCTTGGCCGACTTTGGCTGGTCGGCGGCCAACGTGACCGCATCGTACCTCTCTGTTTGCGCATCCAACGCTCATATTTGCGATATGAATCGGCGCGAAACGCTGTGCGGCACGCTCGATTACCTCTCGCCCGAGATGCTCAACGTACATTTTCCCGTGAAAATGTCCGCTGAGCTTGGTTGTAGGGACAAAAATACGATGCGTCCGTGGACATTTGGGCCATTGGCGTGCTCCTCTTTGAGCTCCTTGTCGGCAAGCCTGCGTTCGAGTCCCACGTACTGCCTATGCTTGCAGCTCCTTCAAGACGCAATATTGACTCCAGCCGATTCATTTAGGACCAAAGCCAGACGTCGGAGCTCATTTTAAACGCGCGCTACCGCATCCCGCTCTTTGTGTCGCGGGAGGCCAAGGACCTTATCCGCCGGGTACGAGTCGTGGTTGTATAGCTCCAACGTTCACAAACCGGTTGGTTAGTTTTTGAAAAAGGACCCGGCCGACCGCATCACGCTGGCCGAAGCCATGGAGCACCCGTGGCTCCAGCGCTATAGCCAAGAGCGGGCGCGTACGCCGTCCGCGGCGTCGCCCAAACCGAGTTCGCGGCAGCCGCGGTCGTCGTCGTCGTCGGTCGCGTCGTCTCGGGCGTAAATTCTGGATCCAGAGCGCTACAGAACTGTGTATACATCTAGTATATTTTGCAAGGATACTTTGCATATCATTCGCTTTCTTGTGTGACCACTGCTTCGTCGACCGTCGCAGTCAGAATGAGCATGCTCGACCACTCGCGTTAACCCTTCAACGCCCATTTTTTAAAGTCAATCATGGTAGCGACTTGAATTGCTTACAGCAGCTCAACGTTAACCGCGAAAACACAGCTCTAGAGTGCAGCTAATACGCTTCCTGGACGTTCATGTGACCACCAGTACTGCCTCCATAACGCTATTATGGATCACAGAGGGCTCCCGAACTATCCTCACGAGATGTCTTCGCCCGGGCGAAAGCTACCCTGCCGCAGCTCCCAACGTAGACGTTGGGGTATGGGGTATCTCAATTCCGACAACGGCGCGACAGGCTATTTGCCGGTGTACAAGTATTAACAAGTATTAACTTTAGGTCTGGGAAGGTCAATACCTCTGCTAATACTGTACCACTGCGTGTTGTTGAAAGGGTGTGCGCATGCTTTTTTCGTGGACAGCACTGGGATTCGAGCATCGACAGGTTGCACAATGTACTAGCGCTAGAACTCACTAACAAGAAATGGACCTCTTCACCGTCACAGCAAGTGCAATAGTAGGGAAATGCAAGTGCACTCCAGAAGACAATTTCACATTTTCAGAATCCCAACACATCTGCTTACGGCAAGCACCATGCCGAAGGTCGCCTCGGGCGATGACGCAGTGTCCGTGCACGGACCTCACACGCTGGCGCCGAGTTGCGTCAACATCCCAGCGCTTGCCTGGCCGCGTTGCCCCAGGCTGCCAACCAATTCAAGATCGGCCGTGGCATGCATGTAGGGTTCGGGTGTGACGTCATACCTCTGACAACGCATAAATCGATGTTGCCGTTGGGACCTCAGCAAACGCTCAATGCCTTCCGCGAGGCGACCACTCCATTCCAGGTCGTCAACGTGCTTTTTCTCTATCTGCCAACCAGCAATTTCCTATGCAAGCCTCTTGGACGCGACTCATTCATCCGCAAACACCCCTCACAACCCGTTGCGGAAAACCTCTCACATTCGATTTTGGTATCCGGATGTTATTTACCGGATACCAACGGCGATCTGCGAGCAGGGTCGGCAGTTTGGAAACTTCATCAGCATGCTCTCGCCTGCCCAGATCACGTACGTCCAGTACGCCGTCCAAGCGATCGGCCTTGCCGTCGTCGCCAAGGTCGCGCTCACGCTCCTCACCGGCTTCTACGCGAGCTTCCTCCGCGGTGGCAAGAAGCTCACCAAGTACGGCAAGTGGGCCATTGTGACGGGTGCCACGGACGGCATTGGCAAGGCCACGGCCATTGAGCTCGCGCGCAAGGGCCTCAACATCGCGCTCATCAGCCGCACGCAGTCCAAGCTCGACGAGGTCGCCGCCGAGATCCTCGCCAAGAACAGCGCCGTGCAGGTCAAGACGCTCGCGCTCGACTGCAACAACCTTGACGAGGCCGCGTGCGCCAAGGTCCGCACGCTTCTCGCCGAGATTGGCGACGTCGGCGTCCTCATCAACAACGTGGGCATGTCGTACGACTTTCCCCAGTACTACCACGAGCTCTCGGACGAGGCTGCGCGCAACCTCATCACGATGAACATTACGTCGACGTTTGTCATGACCAAGCTCGTGCTGCCTGGTATGGTCGAGCGCAAGCGCGGTGCGATCGTCAACTGCAGCTCGGGCTCGGCGCGCATCCCGTGCCCGCTCCTTGCCGAGTACTCGGCCGCCAAGAAGTGCATTGAGCAGTACACGCTCGGCCTCGCCGGCGAGTACGCAGCCAAGAACATCCACATTCAGTGCCAGACGCCCATGTTTGTCACGTCCAAGCTCTCGAAGATCCGCCACGCGTCCTTTATGGTCCCGTCGCCCTCGACGTACGCCAAGGTACTCCATGGCTTGCCCATGCGGAGGACTCATGCGACTTTTGCCGTAGGCCGCCGTTGCCAACATTGGTTACGAGACGGTCACGTCGCCCTACTGGCCGCACGCGCTCCAGCTGTACATCTTCAGCCTCTTTCCCGACTTTATCGTCTCCAAGGTACACGGTATCCCTGCCTTCTACCTCGCTCACCACGCTGGACGTAGCTTGCGCTCTCGAGCCACTTGGGCCTCCGCGCGCGTGCGCTCAAGAAGCAGCAGCAGAAGAAGGACTAAATGTGCACTGTCAATACGATGCTGTTCGTTCAAATGGTGCTTGGACACGGGCGTGTTGGTTGCGAGCAGGCTCGTGCGGACAGTGCAGTGCTATAGCAACCACAGAAAGCACTGGCGTTGGAGCCTCTTGCGTCGACATTGCTGCAGGGGACAGGAGTTACTCGATGTTGCCCGGTACTAGGGCTACCGGGGCAGCGATGGTACTGCCTAGAGGTCAGCGTGGAGTCGCAGCGCTGGTCGACGTGCCATGGCTCCACGCATCGAGGTCCCTTGTGCTCGACTGCTGGGCTGACCAGTTCTTCCCAGTCTTCAAGTTCCGGTCGCGCAGGCGCCAAATTTTGAAGTACATGTATCCGGACACCTCTGGTTATCCGGATACCAGCTCATATTCAAAAATCGCAGCAAGCCAAATGGCCGAGGCCCCGACGCCCAAGCTCATGGCGCTGAGCGACCTCAAGGCCGCGCACCGCCGCAGCCTCACGGCGATCGCCAGCATCGCGGAAGAGGAGATCGGCGCCATGGCCAAGACCGCGGCTGGCACGACCGCGCCCGTCAAGAACCAAAGCGCCAAGGCGAGCCTGCTCCAAGCCAACGTCAACGAGATGTGCGCGGCGACGTACACGCACCTCTTCCGCCACTACTTTCCGACTTCTGGTAGACTTGCTCGAAAGGTCGTGCTGACGCTATTGCGATGCTAGACGCTGGGAAGGAGGCCAAGGCCGCGATCGACCCAAAGCTGCTGGCCCGCATGCGGGAGCTCGAGGAGCAGATCAAGACGACCGAAGAGTCGATTCAGGGCTACCGGACGCAACTACCCCTCAAAATCCGCGATATCGTCCAAGCCGACTTTAACGCCAAGGCCAAGCTCACAGGCGTCAAGCGAAAACTGCCAGACGTGGCGGCAACGCTCGTGGCACCGACCTTACCGGACCTCTCGGACGTCCAAGCCTCGTTCACGCAGGTGCTTGTCTTCTCCGTGGCATACGCATTCCATATCGTTGCCTTGCATATATAGACAGCCGCCAAGATCCACGAGCTCAAAAACAACCTGCCCGTGACGATCCAAGAGGCCAGCGATACGATCCGCGTCGTACGTGTCGACGACCCTGCGTCATCACTATGACGACCCTGCGTCATCAATATCCTGTTGGCCTAGATTGAGCATGCCATCAAGCGACCGAAAGCCCATATCGACGTGCTCATGGAAGGCGGTGCGCCATCGACGGTAACACAGATGCTGTACACAGGCAAGTCGTATTGAGCAACACTCGTATAGGCTCCGACGCCGTCTTTGCGGGCGACGGTCGCGGCCATGCTGCAGCAGTCCTAATTGAGCTTGGCGAGACGCTGCTTTTGGCGACTCCGAAACACGTCGTTCGTCGGACGCTTGGCCATGAGATTGACTAGACACAATGACGTTATATATATCTTGATACATTGAAACATACCCCCGCCGTCGTCGTCGTTCATGGCAGCCGCCGCGGCTTCCATTTGTTCGACTTCGGCGCGCGTCGGCAGCTCCGTGAGCATCATCGCACGGTAAATGTGGTCCACGTCCGCGACCGGGCCTACGTCCACGCCATCCACGTCGCATGCCGAGTTTCGTCCATATCTCACGACGCACCGTTCCACGTGACACCCAAGGGCAGCATGCTCGCAAACTCTTGGAGACACTCGGGCAGCGGCGGGCCCGTGTACGGCCTACACATATATCAATGAACCTGTACAAGGTATGCCAAGGGTACTTGTCGAGCTCCTTCATCACGTTGGGCTTGAGCGCCGCCGTCGACGACGACGCTGTCATTGGCGCCTTGGCGTGGGTCTCGACGGCGTGGACACCGGCGTACGTTTGGAAAAAGAGCGGGTCCGTCGAGGTTTCGAGCGCCGACATCCACTCGTACCGATGCACCAGGCTCATCAACCCCTTGGCCTGGAGGTACGCGTGCGGCTCCTTTGCCAGTGCGTTCTGGAGCGCGATGGCGCGCCGGCCTTCGAGGCGCACGATCGACGCGAGGTCGCCGCCGTTGGTTGCCATCGTCATCTCGAACGCAATGAATTTGTCCCACACGGGCTTGGCCACGTCGGCCGGCATGACACTCAGCACCTTCTCAAAGAGCGACCGCATGTCTACAGCCGCCGTGTTGGACTCTATCAAAAGGACGCGCAAACCCACTGTTGTCGTCGTTGGTATGGCGCAAAAAGTCGACATACGACAGCACAAACTCGGGTTCGTGAATGTACTTTTTGAGCCCGAGCTCAAAGATATTGAGCGCGATTTGCTTGCCTTCGTTGCCGTTGGAGCTGTGAAACTCGAGCAGTGCTAGAGAGAACAGCATGACAACGTGTGCATCCGCCCACGCAACCTACCCGCTGCGGTAAACACGTGGTACGTGCACGCGCCGTCGCGCGAGTCCTTGCGTGCCCGCTTGAAGATGTGCCGTGCTTCTTCCAAGCCCTAATGGAACACAGTTTCAATGTATCAACTGGCGCCATCGACCACGAACGACAGACCTTGTTGCCGTACGCGCGACGAGCAAAGCGCTGGTAGGTGATGTACACAAGCGCCGACGGCACGGTCGCCAGCAGCTGCTCGTAAATCTCACGGGCGCGCTATAAATTTAGTCAATAAAAATGAAAATAGAGAAAAATACGTAGAAATTAGGACGCACCTCGGTTTCGTTGTGCAGCTCGAAATGATCCGCGTATGCAAAGTGCAGCAAGCACGACTCGGGCATCGCGGCCACGGCGCGCGCGTAGATGCGCGAGACGGCCTCGGCGTCCGGCTGCTCGAGAAGGACGTACTGATACCAGACTTCGCAGCTGAATTGGCGGCACGCGAGGCAGCTCTCGAGCGCGAACCGGCACTTGGCCTTCCATTTCGCCGTGTCGACGCGCTCGGGGTTGGAGAGCTCAAACTCAATCCAGCGCTGCCACTCGTCAATCTAAGCAATTCAAAACTCAATCCTCGAGCGCTCGAAATTTGAGTCGAGAGAGACCTGCGGGTTGGTGTCGACCTTGGACGGGAGCGCGTCGAGGTTGATGGCGTCAACAAGCGCCTTGCGGTCCTTCAAGATCGTCTTGGCCGCGTCGATCTTGGGCCGCAGCGCTTTCATCATGTTCTGCATGAGCGCGTCGTTGTTGGGAATCGACTTTTCAAAGAGCTCATAGTCCTTGAGGAGCGCGTCCGACCCGACCATAGGGATCACAAGCGCACGCTGGTAGCCCTTGCGCACGGTCATGAACGCTTGAATGTCCTGTACAAGTCGATGAGGTGGTCGTATGCATGTGGAGAGGTAGACCTTGTCCTCGCGCAAGAAGCCAATGTAGCTCTGCCAAATGCTCAGCGAGTAGATCGACTGGCCGACGCACTCGAGCGCGAGCTCGTACGCTTCGAGCATGAGCTTGCGTGCAGCCTGCTGCTCTTCGACCGACCCAAAGTTGGTGTCGACCTTGGATGACTTGAGGAACGAGAGGTACATGGCCCAGAGGTCGATGTACGGCAGCTTGCGCTCGACAAGCGCCGTCGAAAAGATACCGCGGACCTTCTCGTACTGCCCGGCGCGGAGCTCGTGCTCGGCAAACGCTTTCCACCAATAGCCCTACGCATGATGACGTTGTATTGGCTGGTGGACCACGACGGGCCGTACCGAGGTCGGGAAGCGCTCGAGGAAGAGCTCGTAGTATGGACGGGCGTCGTCAATGGATGGAAGCTTCTGGACTTCGTTCATGACGCTTTGCCATGCATGCGCGTTCCATGGACTCGCGGTCACGACCTCGTAGTTCTTGCGCAGCTTGGCCGACTTGCCTGCGAGGTTGAGGTGGGCCGAGGCGCCGACGAGGAGGTTCATCTCTTCGTCCTCTTCCTCTTCGTCATCTCCATGGACCATGCCCATCGAGGGCGCAGCGATCGGCTCATCTTCCTCAGAGCTGTCATCCGACAGGACGCGGCCGTCCATCCGCGTGCTCATGACCGCCACACTTGCAAGTTGTTATTGCGGAAACACTAATTCAAAGCAATCTGAACAGTATATTACAGTCAATGCCGATTATTCAAATAGTGTGCTATCTCCTCTTGCGGTGCAACAACGAGCTTCCTGACGGCGCAGCAGTATGCTGCTCAGCATACTGAGTGCTTCCAGCTCTAGATCCAAGCAAGCGAGGTCGCGTGGCGCGTGCCCTTGCCTGTGGCGGCGTCATATCGAGTTCACGCTTTGAATAGTGTACGTCAGATATGGTGTGCGTCGGAAACCTTTTAAAAATGATATCGACCACGTCGTATAAAATGTCGGAGGTTTCGACGGGAAATCTTTGCCCATACAAAGCCCGAGTCAATTTGTTTTCCAAAACTCAAAAGCGACGATGGACCCCTTGGAACGTGAGGCGAGTAAGCTGCGAGCGCTGGTCGAGACCCCGAACGGGCCCGCGGCCTTGGCCGAGGCCACGTCGCTCCTGCGCAACCT